TTGGTGGAAATAGCGGCGGCGGTGGGGCGGTCAGGTTCGGCGAGGCTTCCTCTGCCGACCCGAATCCCACGAGAAGCGCCGGCCCGCGTTTACAACCTCAATGCTCAGCGGTTTCCCATCAACTCGTATTGGCTGGGCTCTTCACTTTGTCGCGTCGCTTTCGAATTTCGACCCGCGCCAGCTCCCGACGTCGTGACGGCGACGCTCCATCGGCGCTCCATCGGCATACGTGCGCCCAAAGGGATGCTTTCCGCACCCGCCCGCCACGCACAATTGATCCTTTTGCCGCATGACGTTAACGGAGCGCCGCGCCACGCCGCGCCGCTATTGTGCACGGGGACTCGCGGGGTCATTTCGAGTGAATCGCGCCCAAGGACGTGCGCCGAGCTAATACCGCTTAAAAATGGCTGACCTTCGCGTTCGATGCGGGATGAAAAGATGGCCCGGATGCAGGAGCGGCCGCACGTGCGTAGAAATCATCATCTGATGATGGTACGCGTGAAAGATTTTTTTTTTTTTCCCCCTTCATTTCAAACAGAGTCAATTGTAATGCCAAAATGACTGTGACAAGAAAAAAAGAGATTTTTGTGAAGATGAAACAATGTCTTTTCAACGCCATTGATGATGTGAAAAAGAGAGCGAGCGAGAGAGAGAGCGGTGGGGAAAACAACCCGAGCCACCATTTGCAGATTCGTATTAGCATTTTTCTTGCTGCGGGCGTCTCCCCCATCTGCTGCGGGCATGACATCATAGCAGATTGCTGCATTATTTCCAGCACGCACTGTGACTCCATCTCGCTCGCTCTGTTTGTTTGTTGATTTCTTATTTTTTTAAAATTTGGCTTTGTCATCATGAAGACACGGAGCAGCGCCTTTGATTCGCTGCGAGCGTCGCCACAAAATGCACACGCGGCTCCGAAAAAAAGAAATGGGCTTTGAAAGTGATCGGCAAACTGCGTCGGCCAAGGTTACGGGCGCGCTTAATAAGCTCGTTGCTTCGAGCGTGTCATCAAACGATGCCTCTTGCTGTTGTTTTTTTTTCAATTCCAAACGCCCCCCCCCTCCCCCAGTGTTGAAGTGCTTGTAAGAAGAGTGATTGCACTTTGCATGGCCGTTGACCAAATCCTTTTTCCACCAAGTGCTGTCACCGAGCTGGTGTTGAGCAGAATCCTGGCATTTGCCCCTCAAGAAACCCCCGCCATGTTTGTTGGGTGATTAGCGTTGCATGAGAGGAAGTCCTTTTATTATTTTTAGGATTATTTTTTGATGTGATGAACAATTCGGTCATTCATTTGGACAAATGACGCGCCTACATTGGAACTGACCAAATGGCATTATCTCAAATGGACCAAATTTTGCCAGCAGCACGATTGAAACCTCAGAATAGCTCTGCCGCCCCCCCCCCCCCCAAATAAGCACGTGTCTCGAGATTTTCGGAGCTTTTTACTTTTGTATTATTATTATTATTATTATTATTTTTTTTTTTATATGTGCGGTTTTTGGCGGGGGGCGGGGTCTTCAAAGGACTGAATCGGCTCTCATCACGATGGACGCTTTCCCGCTGGGAATGGTAAAGAAATGGCAAACGAACAAAGGTTATCTTATCTTATCTTATCTTATTTTGCTTGACTTCATATGTGAGCAAGCCCGAGCTTTTTTTCTCAAGCCCTTTTTCAGCAGTGTACATCGATGTGACGGCTGATATCCCCAAATCGTTCTTGATCATACACCTTGTCGTCTTTGATATTGCTGCCATTATCGCATGGCAGCATCTTCATTATAATCTTCATTACGAATAGTTCCCCCCCCCCCCCCCCCCCCCCCCCCCCCCCATTCCTCGCATCCTAATCAAATTCAGCGTCGGTGCACTGCGATGTCGGTTAATAATTTATTTTATTTCTGGAATGTCCCATCATGTGCTTTTTTTTCCACGGAAGAGGAGGAGGGAAGGGGGGGGGGGCGGGGGACGCTTAAACGATGAGCGCGGGTGGCCTCCCAGGAAAGGAAAAGCTCCGTCCGTCCGTCTCTCCATGAAGCGAGGCCAGGCCTCAACCAGCAGTTGCGCATCTCTCGTCTCTCCATTAGTCGGGTCTGGAATAGCGCGCGGATGGAGAGGAGAGAAAAAGAGATGCTATTGACGCCACCTCTGCCAAGCCTCCTCAAATAGACACGGAGCCAGAAAGCCGCCTCCGCGATACACTTATCTGCTGCCTGCGTAAATCCACGACGCATTCATGACATTTGTTTTTCTTTCGAACGCTGTTAGATTTGGTTTGTGAGGGCTTTTTTTTTTTTTTTTTTTTGGCTCTGACTCACACGCGCAGGCAAATCTTTTCAACTCTCTTAAAACGATCCTCCTTCCATCAATAAAGGCCCCATGAATATTTCAACGGGTGACCGCAGCTTTTGGTCCGCGCGACATTTCGCATTCCGCGCAGGCGCGCCGATTTTGCCGGCTAACGGGGGCGCAGATTGAACGGTTAATAACGCTGCATCTTTTCGGAGTTTGCCGAGTCCATCTGCTTTGCGGGATACCTGGCCTCGGGGCGAGGAGTCGCACTCGCCGTGCGGGGTAGGGGGGCAGAAATGCGCACCATGGAAGACGTTAGGTGACCATTTTTCAAACGATGACAATGAAACGATGAAATGGAAACAAGTCATTCATACAAACATTTTTCACGGCGAACAGTTTTTGGGACGAAAACACCGCACGAAAATAAAAGGCACAACATTACGTCTATTAAGTACGTGCGGATGTAATTTGTTATTTCTCCAAATGACTCTGAGGGCTTGCCCGCACAATCATCATTTCGCCAAAACAAACATGAAAACCATGACTCGTTTCACTTTTTTCATCTTGAACTCGATTGATAAAAATTCCCAGTTCGAATAGTCGTTAAAAAAACCAAAACAAAACAAGCAACCAACCCTCACATCACTTGGAGATGAACGTCCCCCGAATATTTGTGAAAAGACCCAAATCCGCCTTCCCCTGCCGAGAAGTTGCTTCTGTGATGCTCTCGGAGGCATCCGATGGGATGCCGGCATCACGCGTGCCGTCGGTTTCCCAGGAGTCGCCGGCTTTCCATCCGTGACGTGCTCGATGATCTTCTGGAGGAAAATGTGGGGCATTTTCCCACACCTAGCGGAGCAAATTCCCGCCCTCTGGCTTTGTCCTTCCAGTTAAGAGCGGGAACCGAGCTGGTCTCACGGGCTCCAGTCTTCCTCTTCCCCCTGTTCTCCATTTTTTTTTCTCCCCGTCTTCCTCAAGCATATCATCAAATCACGTTTCCTCTGGCGCGCGCCCGCCGAAATATGACTGAGCTGATGGTGCGTGGGGGGCACCTCTTTGAGGAAACCCCCACACGGCAAATTTGATGTCGAATGGCGTGTCGTTCCTTGCCTGACCGAATTCCCCCCCCACAAACTGTCCTCAGAGGGAACTTACTGTCCTGTCAAACAAGCGTTTTGAAGGCAAACATGTCATTCGCCGACCGTGTTTGGTGGGGCCGGGGGGGGGATAATTTGCCCAGCTGAGCCGAGGCGGGGCGCGGGGGGACTCCTCGCCACGCCGACAAGCTTCCGAGATGTCCCATCACAGCCGCTCAATTGAGTTGGCGCGCGACAAATGAAAGCGGTCGTCGTCACCCGCACGGAAAGAGGAGGAGAGAGGCTTGCCGCTCGCTCGGCGCAGCGGTGTCCAAACGACGGCCCCCGGGGCCACCCGCGGCACGCCATCCATTTTTCAGCGGCCCACGACGTGACCCCAAAATGTAAAAAAACAAAACAAAACTTTGACGTGAAATCTGACATCTGGGAAGATTTGTTGTTTTTTTTTTTTCCCTGCCATGGCCATCCCATGTTTTTCGTCCCAAGCCGTTGAATGGCATATTGGGTTCAAAGTTTCGGGGGGTTGGAGGGAACAAAAAACAAAACAACAACACAAAAGGTCCATGCAATGACTCCACGCAAAGCGACTCCAAACGCACGTTTTTCGGCGCTCCCGAGCTTGTCAAAAGCAACTTCTGTTCTGCTGACGCAGCTGTGTTTTCATTTCAGGGCCCTTTTTCTTTTCCCTCTGTCAAAAAACCCAGAAAACGACCACTGGAGTGTTGTTGTGTTTTTTCTTCTTTGGTTCTGACAGGCAAAGAGCCCTGCTGAATAACTCCTCCATGTATTACAGGGCCTATTAAATGCAAACTTTTCAATCTGGCAATCAATAAGGCGAGGCGGCATCGGGCTGGCCCAGCGCCAGACACATTAGAGCCGCCGCCAGCGCCGCTTGCGAGGGAGCCCGGCCCGCTCGGGGAGGGGATGTTTCATGTAATCGAATCGCATAAATCAACTGGAGGAAAAGTGCCTCTCTTCTTCTCTCCCCGGCCGACATGTCGCGTTTCGTGCCTGCGTTTTACCCGGCCAACCAAGTCGAGCTGAATTGCCGCTCCTTTGCCATGTAAACTGCGGTTACCCCCCAAAAAAAAAAAAAAAAATTCTACAAATGTTTCCTTTTTTTTTTTTGTACTCCTCCTCCTCCTTCCTGTTCCAAAACAAACGAGAGCACTTTTGCGCTTTGCCGTAATTACGAACAGGAGCCCACATGCACGGAGGGCTCTTGTCGGACGCACGCCATTACCATCGGGACGAGAGCATTTGGACACGTCAAGTGGCGCATCACGTTCAATATAAGCAACCGCCCGCACCCCGCGTCCGCCCTTCTCCGGGTGCCGCAACCACAAAAATGGGGGATTTCACTCCTTCGGGTAAATTAGCCGCACGGTTACGACGTGAGACCGCTTAGCGTGTTGATGTGGCGTACGGTCGACGCCGCGGTTATGAAGGAGCCATGTCGTTGCGCGTCCTTCGATAAATGCCTCGCCTCAAATAAACGCCTTTGGAATCGTGAATAGCAGGTGTTGGCTGTAAACCTCGATGCTCTGACCACGCGTGGCAGTCCACGTCTTTCTTGACATGCACGCCTCCGGAAAGCGGACATTTTTTCAAGGGAGTTGAGAATGCTTGCGGCGTGGAGCAAGTGCGCATCATCTAATGCATGCTATGATGATGTCATGTATTCATTGGATCGGTATTAAACGTTTTTGTTCAGAAAAGCGAGCTGTACAAACAAAAAGCCGTGCGATGTAAGCGGCGAGATCATGAACGCGCACGCCGGGTGTCGAATGGAAACGGAGGCCGCTGCCAGGTAGGAGAACAGCCGTGCGCTCTCCCCCCACCGCGGCGCCTTTTGACCGCCTCACTCTTTTTTTGTGAACACGGACGGCCGCCTGCCGCTTTGCTCGCTGTCCTCGAACGCCTCCCGGAATGCTGGCAAACGACAGCCCGATATCCAAAACGCGGTGGGCATCGGCTGTAGTTTTGCGCACATTTGAGAGACGCCAGTCATTTGCAAGGTCAATCTTCCATGTTACACCCCCTCCAGAGAATTTACGAAACCTTAAGGGTCCCGTCTCACTTTTGAGCAGACGGCCGCCAATGAGAGGGGAAGGAGTTTACGAGGCCAGCGCAGCAGAACGCCATCCGTCAAGGTGCGTTGCGGCATCTTAAGGCTGACACAGGCAAAGTATCTTCGACACGTACGCAAGACTGGCTTCGTCATTTTGTTACTCGATTGAGCGGATGCGTTCAGTTCGGCTTGAGCTGCCCTAGCATCGACATGTCCACTCCTAGCCAGTCAATTTTGGGGCGGATAGAAGTGATCAGCGTTTTCTTTGGAGTAGATGCTGGACATATGGGTTCTAGTAGGTACTAAATTTGGCCGTCACCCCCTCGCCTGTTTTGAACCGCGGCGTGTCGGTCAACTCGCTCGGGTAGCTGAGACGAGCTGTTGTTTCTCATGCCGCTCTGACAATTGAGCCTGACGAAATGCTGTTTGACGCTAACGCGAGTTTCCTTTTGATCAAATGCTCAACACGAGCATGTTTGTTCTCTCACTTGATCACCAAATGCCGGAACAGCAGCGCGCTAGTCATTAGCCACGTGAGCCGCGTTTGCTTCTGTAATCGGCAGCTGCGCACGCTGCCGTGACATAAAGGGAGCATGTTCATAAAAAAACAACTCAATGAGCCTGTAATAGCGTGTAGAAATTGCTCGATATACGCACACGTCGAAAGATGTGGCAAACGTTTCTGCGCCTCTTCCAAGCGCACACCGCCGCGCCATCCAATTATTCCTCATCATCCAAAGCTCCTGAAAGTCATTAGCCACAGATGTCAGTGTGTTGTCGGGACAGAAACGCACAATTTCATGAAACCGTGGCCATCTTTGGAAAAACAACAGTCGCCAAAAACAAACAAGAGCAATAACGGCGGTGAAAGAAAGAGCCCCCCCCCCTCCTTCTTCTTGATTTATTCATTGCGGCATAACGGCTGCAACGAGGCTCAAGGCATCCGAACAGAAATTTTGCAGATGGTTAATCTACATCTGTGTGGGTCCGGATTCGAACCCACGACCTCTGCACCGCGAGGCGGACATGCCAACCAGTTGTCACCGTGCCGCCTAATTGAAAAAAAAACATTTAGTTGAATACCTTGTTTAAAAAAAAAAAAAGAGTAGCGCATTATATTATTAGCATTGCATATATTTGAGATATTCAAAATGAAAAGATAATATTTTGACCTGCAGTCATTCGTTCATATATTAGAGATTTGCCATTTCTTTTAATGTTTTCAACATTTTCACATGTGCATATTTTGTGGTGATTCAAAAAAAAAAAAAAAAGGTCCAGTCTTTCAATTGGAGATTGTTATTTTAGTCGAGAATATTTATATTTCAGGATAGAAGAAACATGCACCTTTGGCAAACTTTTCAGTTCTGAAGGAAACTTGATGTGAAAGCAGTTGAATCGGAAGCTGGAATCCGATCGCGAGCCTGCATGCAATTCAAATGCGGACATCCCATTTCACCCCCCACCCGTTCTCCCTCAAAGATGCACATTTGAATTGGACGGGAAGAATGTGGCTTGAAACGCGCAGCGTAAAGCCAAAGTGCCAGCAATAGAATGAGTGAAAGCAACGGATGTGACGGGCTGCTGTCATTTGCATTCACGCCGTCTTCCAAATCTTCGTCCAGTTGGTTCTTCTCGCAGGCGAGGAAGGAAGACAACAAGGGCTTTGCCGTCTTGGTAGCTTTGGTTCTTTGGTACGCCACAAATGCTCTTAGGTCACGTGACCCACCGTGGACTTAACCATCAAAATAAACGACTATTGGAACCCCAAAAAGTGGATTAACAAGGCAGACTTTTTTTGGACTTAAACTGTTCCCTTCATTAACGTGTGAGTGTGTGTGTGTGTGTGTGTGTGTGTGTGTGTGTGTGTGTGTGTGTGTGTTTTCCCACTTGTATTTATTTATTTTGATAGGTTTGAAAAATATCTCTTTGTGGCATTTTCATCGGAATTCCTGGGGCGTTCCTGCGCCAACATGTTTTTCCAAAACAGAAAACTTGTCGTTTGCCATTCCGCCGTCGTCCCCGCGGCCCGTCTCAGCACATCGGTCAGAGCGGTCCAATCGGTGAGCGCTCCCGCTTTGCATCGAGCCTCCTCCCATCCTATGTAACACCCGCGTGACTCACGCTCGTCCTCCTCGCGCTCGCACGTACGCGACATGATTTCTGGCTTTTGGCTTTGCTGTTCTTGAAAGGCGACCAAGGGGGGGGGGGGGGGGGCGCACGACTTGAAAGTGGAAAGAGGGAGGCCCGGGGGCCGTTAACGGCAACTGCTCCCGCAAAGGCGTCGTTACATAAACAATGACATCGATTCATGAAATTTGCATGAGTCAACGCTGGTCCAATCTGCCATGAGACAAAATGTACCAGAACGTCGTTCCGCTAATTGAGAGCGACGCGCCGCTGTAAACAAAGCGGCATCCATCACGCAGAGCGGGCCATCAATAAATAACAATACGGACGTGCGTGTGCGTCACACAAAGAGCCCGAAGTAGAAGGCGCAATTTCTCTCGGGACGTGACTTGAATGGCACGGGGGATCCTCTGCGCCTACACCGAAGTCTCCAAATGATTCCTAACCTCGCCAAAGGGAATTTTTACTGCCCAAACTTGCCGCAGGAAAGCGACACAAAGCGCGTCAAGGTATTCATGCAACGCTTTTGCCATTTCCATTGTTGGGAATGATTGCGAGCCTGGAAAATGTGGAGGGAAGCCGCTGGGTCCCCAACGTTGTGCGCACGTGCCGGGCTGATGAAGCATTTGGGGCGAAACGTTTCAGAGCTGGCGCCGGGCCGAATCTGCCTTCCCCCAAGGTCGTCGCTTCTCATGAGGAAAAAAAAAAAACAAATGCATAGTTTGTGAGAACAAGCCATTTCCAATGCTTGAGATAAAACACAACAGCAAAAAAAACCAAAAACAAAACAAATCTAGCAAAAAAAAAAAATAAATGGAGATATGTAATAAATTGTGTCGTGAGCTGTTTCTAAGTTTCACAATAGTCTATTTGTCACCCGGAGACCGCTCTCTGTTTTTCATGGCGGCCACACCTCTCGCTCATCTCGCTGCAGCTCTGCTTACCTTGCGGCTTGAACACGACAGCGCTTCAGACGGCGTAGTCCAGTGGGCAAATTCCGCGGGGACGTACTGTGAAAGAACAGTGGACCGGCTCACGTCGCCCCACGCAAGATATTTGTTTCTTTTCAAACTTGATGGACGGGCACCGGGCGGGCCCAACGTTTGACATCGGAGCAATGAAAAAGTCCCTTTTCCGTTGCGCGGTCCCTTTATGAGGCGTCAAAGCTCGAGAACATCCCACGATACAGTTGTGTGACAGCGTTTGGCGCTTGACTATGCGACGGAGCTGTTGGGACCCCAACAGCGCCGCCGTTTATGAGGCCGCGTCGGCAAAACGCTTCCCCGCGCGGCCGCGCCCAATTAGAACGCCGACACAAACACATGCCCCGGCCTTTAATTGGGAAATGTCGCGTCGCAAGGACAAAGAGGGAAATTTCCAAAGCGCGCACGAATGCGCGGGCCTCGGCAAATGCCTTTGTATGCTCATTAAAGCCCCGCGGCGCTCTGTGCAAATTGAATGTAATCAAGTGCAATGCGGGCCAGAGAGCGAGAGAGAGAGAGAGAGAGAGAGAATCAAAGCCGTGACATTTGGGGGAGGAAAAAAAAAGCCGCTGCCGTACCTGCTCGCGGAAACCGTCGCAATATTTCATGCGTGCGGGGTGTCGGCGCGGTGCAGCTTGGCCAGCGTATCCCCTTCATCTGCCGGCTTCGGGCTTTCTCGCAGCGCTACGTCATTTGCATTGGCGGTTGGAGACAACGGGCATGATGTTGGTCGCAAATCGCAATGGTTCAAGTGGAAGTTTGTTGTTTTTTTTTTTGCAAGAATGCCAGCACTCGTCTCAACTCGGTGTGCTGAATACGCTCGTGTTTGCGGAATAGGACTGAACCAGATGAATGGATCTGCTTGGCTCCCTGTCAGGAGGCCGCCGTGTTCTACAATACAATACATCCTGATGGATATAGCGCTTTCACAACAGCTGCAGCTGGAACAAAGTGCTTAACAAAACAGTTAACATAAAAAAATATACACACACACACACACACACACACACACACACACACACATTAAAAAAGCAGGTCCGGGGGACGGTGAATTATTCTTATTTATCTTCCCAACTGCCTGCCTTGGCCTCGACAAGCGTGTCGTCGGACGCTTTTGCACGCTGGCGACATATGTGCAGAGCAAGCCTTAAAACCGCCAGACGAATGCATGGAGATTTGCACACAATTTGGGGTTATTCTCATCAGATACCCACCTTGAAGAAAAGTCAACGGCGAGCCTGTTTCAATTATTTTCAACAATTCTAAATAAAAAATGTCCTGACTGTTATGCAGGAGTCAGAATGATATGCGCGTTTGCGGGGCGATGCGCATACAGCTGAGCATCATCTAATTCGTTGTGTGTGTGTGTGTGTGTGTGTGTGTGTGTGTGTGTGTGTGTACATCTACTGTACTGTGTTGGTCAAAGTGTGTTGACTGTGGTCATTTTGAATCCGGTGAGATGTTGGGCGCTCTTGAACTCCTCCAAAATGGCGGCGCCCTCGTTAATGAACCTTGTCAATCAGCACTCTTCATTGTGCTCTTGCCTTCAGCTACCACGTATGTCTGATTCCAATTGGATTTTTTTTTTCCCCCAGGCCTCATTGTAGTAAATCAGAATTTAAGAACTTGAATCATGTCGTGTAAATTCGGCCCAAATGTCAATGGCACATTTGAAAAAAAAGAATCGTTTTCTTCGTACTGGATGGCTTTTTCTGTGCATTTGAATGGACATGTATAAATCATTAAGACGGGGGGGGGGGGGATTTGTTTGTGTACCCCCTCCCCTCCCTCCTAATTCACCCCTCGATAATTTCCAACACTTTGCAGATGTCTTTCTGGCTTTTGTCAAAATACTTCAAGGACCAAGAATGACATCACACTTTACACTCGCGCTGCACGATATAGCAAACATTGCTTGCATATCGTGTGTTGCATATTAGACAGTGCAAAAGGATTATTTTGTACTGTTTTTCTCACTTTCAGTTATTGTAAATGAATATTAAAAAAAAAAAAAAAAAAGAAGGCTTGACACTTGCTTCCTGGCTTACCTTGGCGGCTGCTCGGGTGGTTTTAATGACGTCCAGCTGGTCGATCTCATTGCCACGAGGTTAGCGCGCTTCCTTTTTTCACCTCCATTACGACTGGATGTCATTACAAAAGGCTAAAAAAAACAACTGTATCCTGGACCCAAAATGTGTTTGAGAGCCGAGAAAGAACAGGCACGAAGCATGCTTTCCGTGACCTTTACTGGGTCCGTCGCCCCTGCCAACATGGCCGTCACGTCGGTGAGACGGTGCTCGTATAGCATCTATCTGTGACTCCAGCGGACCAAGGCGGTTTCAAGGCAGACCTTGAAACCGGTAATGGGCCCGCGCTCAAGCGGAACAAGCTGAGAATCCGTGCAGCCGCAAATTCTGGAAGTCGCAGACTTTGGCAACGACTGTCCAAAGGGGCATTTGGAGCAGAGTGACCAGTGGCACTATTCAGTCTTTTTTTTTTTTGGAAAGGACGAGGATAATATTCCCGCATTGAATTTTGTGCGTTTGTACAGGTCAGGAAGAGGACGGCAGGAAGGTGCTGGTCCTCAGCTACCCGCAGTACTGCCGCTACCGCTCGGTGCTGGTGCGGCTCCGGGAGCAGCCCGGCTCGCTGCTGCTCAACCACACGGTGCTGGCGCTGGGCGGCATCGCGGCGCTGGGCGCCAACACGCGCATCCTGTACTGCCGCGACACCTTCGAGCATCCCACGCTGCTGCGCAACGAGAGCATCTGCGACCACTTTGGTGAGTTGACTTGCGGCCGGAGTGTCGCTGCGACCATTCTTTGCCTTTCGCAAGACTTTAGCGCACCTTGTCGCTGCAGATGTCATTTGGGAAGGGAAAAAAAAAAAACAAAGCGGGAAATGGGAATATCCTTTTCCAGGATCCCCTTTGATTGGAACGGTCAGAAAAAAAAGCCTCTGGAATCATCTGAAAGAGAAGAATTTGGGCGCATAATAACTTTAATTGTTCAAAAATTGAGGATGGAACCCCGTTTTGTGTGGTTGAAACAGGAGTGACGTAAGATTTTTTTTTTTCTCTCCTGCGAGTGATTTTGACCTGCAGCACAGCAGGATGTCAGCTTAAGTGACTGCTGAGTAAGTGCCTCCCTCGTAAGAGGCGCAAAGGGAAAGCCACTTTGCCGGCTATTGGAAAAGAAGTTTGCAATTGCCTTTGGCTCCGTGCCGCCGTTGCGTCGCATCGCCTCGCCAAAGCTTTGTTTTCGGCAGCCGGGAGCGCCGCTTTTTCTGCATTTTACAGCTTGACGAGCAACCCCCCAATCGTAGCTTTCTATCCATTCACCTGTTTGTGCTTGACGAGCAGCACAATTTCCATCAGGCTGCCAAGGGGCCCCCCGAGGGCATCTGGCTTCTTCTTATAAGCGCACCGGTGAGCTTTACGCGGAGGCAAGCCGCCATTTCCTGGCCCCGCGTCCGCTTTGATTCGGGTAAATACCGGCGCTGGAGTAATGGCGCCCAGCTGTGACATAATCAACTTTTCTCTTTTCTGCAGCGAGGCGACGGAACGAGGCTTGTGCGCGTCAGCTGGTCGGCCAGATGAAAAAAAAAAAAGAGAAAAATGGTGTGATTGAGTCTATTCCCGGCCAGCCCGGTTATGGATTCATCACAGCGGCGCAGTAGGAGGGAGTTCGGGCACGCCGGTTGCATAAGCGGCGGCCGCGGCTCACTCTCGATTTATATTTAGACGGCATGATTTCGTCCCATTTGTCAAAGCGAATTAGGAGCGCTCCTCCGACCGCCGTTGCGGCGCGAGCGCTGGCCGCCGTAGCCCGATCCTGCCGTACTGGTACGGTGGAGCGGGTCAGGGTTAGGAACGCTCGTCTCGGCACTCGACGGAGTCCCCAGAGCCACAGCACGCATTCTCGTTTGAGCCGAGGCGCGGCGTTGGCCGTGTGAGAAATCCCACGGGAAGGGACGCTGTCCAAAATCACATGTTCTTGTCACAAAATGAGGCCGAAAAATGTCATATTGCCCATCGCTGAGTGCTCTCATTGTATGAATGGCAAGGAGGAAATGATGCGCGCGCACACCGTTCCTTCGCGGGCGGGAGAAGAAGTAGCGGCGGCGACTTCTTTTGGCTTTGTACAATCACATTTGTTGGCTCTGTGCGTGGAAGACGCCTGGCTGTGACTTTGTTCCGTCTTCCGATAGGCCGGAGTGGCTTTGGAATTGCGTTTGCCCGCACGGGCCCAACCGACAGCCTAACCGTCAGCGGAGGCACGCAGGGGAAAAGCGTCCACTCGAGGACACGGGTGACAAGTCATCGGGTCGCAGATAGAATTAGAAGCGCGCATTCTTTGCCTGCCCGGCCGGCTTCGGCCGCGCCCACGTCGGCTTGGGAAAGTCGCGTTGGTTCCAAGCGCGCCAAAAGCAAAGCGTCGTGAAAGGCCACGCCGCCGCAACAGAAAAAGTCAAAACAAGCTTCAATCCCTGAAATGTCTCTGAAACAAAATAGCGGCGACGAGGTTTTTGGACTCGCTCACTCACTCGCCGACATTTGCAAAGGGGACTCTGCGCTCGGGTGGGCGCAAATCGAAAGCGTTTCAAGCCCGCGCGCACGCATCTGCTGCGCGTGACTCTTGGGGGGTATTGTGAGCTCCGCTTTCCCCCCATTGTCCCACCTCCTTGAATCGCCGGAGTTGTGCTGACCCTCGGTTCCCCTCTTATGTCAGAAACCCAACCCTCATGCGGGCTTAACTCGGCACACGCGAGCCAGGCAATCGTGTGGGGGGGGGGCACTTCAGCTCTGATGTAGTCCTCGTCTGTCTGCAGTTGGAGCAGCGGCGTGTTTGTTTGTTGGAAAGACTCTCGTTCATTGCCGCGTGGCTTTTATTAAACGGGGAGCTCCACTCCAACCTTTGCGCAGAGGGAGCCTGAGGAAGGGCCTTCCTTTTATTGCCTTCAAGATGAATATTGTCGCCATTTGCCGGATGAAAAACAACCCGTGGACGCTTTGGCTTCATCAATCTTCCTGCGCTAGAAATAGACAGGAGCGGGCTGGGGGGGGGACACACACATCCAGAAAAATGGGCCACCCCCCCTCCTCCAAAATAACCAAAACATCGACTAAGGCGCAATCTGAACTTGGGAGTGTGATGTCACCGCACAACTTGAGCCGCTCGCCGGCTCGCCCTTTGAAACGTGAAATGGCACGAGGTGAAATGAAACGACGTCGCACAATTGGGTTGAGCGTTTGCGGTCTTTTTACGAGCCGCCGATAGGGAGACGACGACAAAAGTGTCATTGTTTTTCCTCTTCAGCAAACGATTACGAGTGCGGCGGTGGCCAAAATTCTTTGGCAGTGACTCATCATTTGTGTTGTCGCTCACTTTGCCGCTTCGCTTTTCCCGTCGGAGCTTCGCAGGGCTTGTGAGTCTCGCGCCATAGAAATGGAAGAAGCCGGCCGGGCGGGCTTTCCTCATTTTATTGTCCAGACTTTTGTGTTTGAGGGCCAGATTCAGAAAAAAGTGGAAGAATGCAAGAGCCGCTTT